CTGATTGTATCAAAGCGAAGCCCTGAAGAGTCTGACCGCCTTTTTATTGTCTCAAATGATGTTCGGGTTAGAGAAGAGAACTCGTTATATCTTAACTAAGTAGATAAAATTATCTTGAATAAAAGTTCCAGATTTATTGTTCTGACTATTTTCGAAGAAAATGACAAAATAATTGTGCTCGTGGAGTTTTTTCTCCGGACAAAATCTGAAATTTTAACAAAACCTTCTCAATATCTCATTCAAAAGATATTGATGTATTGAGTTCAAATTTAAAAAGATTTTTTACCTGTGGTCATTTTTTATGAAATTATGGGGGTTCATAGGTTGCCAATTTGACCAATTTAGAAAATTAAACGGTCGTAACAATTCAAATTTAATTTTTTTTTCACAAATGTTCATTTTTTATGAAGTTATGAAGGTTTATAAGTTGCCAATTTGAACAATTTAGAAAAACAAACGCGCGATATAATTCGCGCAACTAACACGTAAGCAGTGTTTAATCCATCTTAGAAATTGTCCCAAATTGAACTGAGACTAGCAATCTGGCCTATATAATACTTCACTATAAGCAAAAAAATTACTCTGTATTTTAATTAGCGCGTGGGTGAAGATTTCCAAAAAAAATTTTGAAAGTTTTCATCTGCTTTTCTCATTTTTTTAAATAAAATTTCACCAATTTTCTAGAAGCGAAAACTATTGCTAATACCTTAGAATGCAGTTGGAACCTTCAACATTTTGCTCTGACACGAGCAGTCTTGTTGTTAGGACTTTCAAATTTTTATGCTTGGGTGTTTTTTTTTCATTCAGTCATTTTTTGGTGGTCGAAATAATAGTTTTTAACAAACAAAGTTTATACTTCAATACAGATTTCGATTCCCAGAAATGAAAGATATTTTACCTCCAATCATTTTTTGCTAAATTCTGGGAGTTCGAAAGGTGCCATTCTGGCCATGCTCCGTACTAAGTTCTGCGCGCTTTGAAGAGTTCCTTCATAATATTCCAAGCGTAGCGCGAATAATTTATTTGTCGCGAATTAGCCCCGCAGAATAAAATCGTTCCAAATTGAGTTTCGGCTAATTTCGTACGACTGAAATGTTTGCACTAGATCTTATGAATTTAGGGCCAGTCGGAACATTCAGGGCGTTGCTTTGATATACGAACAATTTCTTGTAAAATTTTTTACAATGTTTCTTTTGCACGCACTGTTAATGACAAAGCGACATTTTCCAGTATTTGCCATTTTGATCAAATTGACCAAACTAAAACTTCTTAAGTGCACACAAACCAGACTGCTCGTATCAGGGCGAATCCCTGAATGTTCCGACTGCCTGGAGCAGTATTAATATGAAAAAATTAAAAAAAAAAAACAATTTTTTTTATTTCAGATTTTTTTTGTGAAAATCATACGACATATAAAGTACGACATATAAAGGGTATTGTATGTAACACACTGAGGAGCACTTGTGCACAATTGAATTAAAAGAAGCGAACCTCGATATATTTATTAAATACACAACTGATTGTATCAGAGCGAAGCCCTGAAGAGTCTGACCGCCTTTTCATTGTCTCAAATGATGTTCGGGTTAGAGAAGAGAACTCGTTATATCTTAACTAAGTAGATAAAATTATCTTGAATAAAAACTCCAGATTTATTGTTCTGACTATTTTCGAAGAAAATGACGAAATAATTGTGCTCGTGGAGTTTTTTCTCCGGACAAAATCTGAAATTTTAACAAAACCTTCTCAATATCTCATTCAAAAGATATTGATGTATTGAGTTCAAATTTAAAAAGATTTTTTACCTGTGGTCATTTTTTATGAAGATATGGGGGTTCATAGGTTGCCAATTTGACCAATTTAGAAAATTAAACGGTCGTAACAATTCAAATTTAATTTTTTTTTCACATTTGTTCATTTTTCATGAAGTTATGAAGGTTTATAAGTTGCCAATTTGACCAATTTAGAAAAACAAACGCGCGATGTAATTCGCGCAACTAACACGTAAGCAGTGTTTAATCCATCTTAGAAATTGTCCCAAATTGAACTGAGACTAGCAATCTGGCCTATCTACTACTTCACTATCAGCAAAAAAATTACTCTGTATTTTAATTAATGCGTGGGTGAAGATCTCCAAAAAAAATTTGAAAGTTTTCATCAGCTTTTCTCATTTTTTCTTATAAAATGTGACCAATTTTCTAGAAGCGAAAATTATTGCTAATACCTTAGAATGCAGTTGGAACATTCAAGATTTTCAACTCTCATAATTTTACAACAATTGATCACTTTTTATATTTGAGCTCAGGGCAACAAAACTGTTTGGTTGATATAAAAATTTTTCGTTCTTTCAAAAGTCGGAACAACAAGTATGTTTTTTTTCTCCCTAAATTGGTTTGGGGCTGCCGACTCATTTTCTTCATGTGAGCGAACCCTCACAGCATCAAAGCCAAACCATGACCACTAGTGATATGTTTCGTTAGGGTATTGTATGTAACACACTGAGGAGCACTTGTGCACAATTGAATTAAAAGAAGCGAACCTCGTTATATACATTAAATACACAACTGATTGTATCAAAGCGAAGCCCTGAAGAGTCTGACCGCCTTTTTATTGTCTCAAATGATGTTCGGGTTAGAGAAGAGAACTCGTTATATCTTAACTAAGTAGATAAAATTATCTTGAATAAAAGTTCCAGATTTATTGTTCTGACTATTTTCGAAGAAAATGACAAAATAATTGTGCTCGTGGAGTTTTTTCTCCGGACAAAATCTGAAATTTTAACAAAACCTTCTCAATATCTCATTCAAAAGATATTGATGTATTGAGTTCAAATTTAAAAAGATTTTTTACCTGTGGTCATTTTTTATGAAATTATGGGGGTTCATAGGTTGCCAATTTGACCAATTTAGAAAATTAAACGGTCGTAACAATTCAAATTTAATTTTTTCTTCACAAATGTTCATTTTTTATGAAGTTATGAAGGTTTATAAGTTGCCAATTTGAACAATTTAGAAAAACAAACGCGCGATATAATTCGCGCAACTAACACGTAAGCAGTGTTTAATCCATCTTAGAAATTGTCCCAAATTGAACTGAGACTAGCAATCTGGCCTATATAATACTTCACTATAAGCAAAAAAATTACTCTGTATTTTAATTAGCGCGTGGGTGAAGATTTCCAAAAAAATTTTTGAAAGTTTTCATCTGCTTTTCTCATTTTTTTAAATAAAATTTCACCAATTTTCTAGAAGCGAAAACTATTGCTAATACCTTAGAATGCAGTTGGAACCTTCAACATTTCGCTCTGACACGAGCAGTCTTGTTGTTAGGACTTTCAAATTTTTATGCTTGGGTGTTTTTTTTTCATTCAGTCATTTTTTGGTGGTCGAAATAATAGTTTTTAACAAACAAAGTTTATACTTCAATACAGATTTCGATTCCCAGAAATGAAAAATATTTTACCTCCAATCATTTTTTGCTAAATTCTGGGAGTTCGAAAGGTGCCATTCTGGCCATGCTCCGTACTAAGTTCTGCGCGCTTTGAAGAGTTCCTTCATAATATTCCAAGCGTAGCGCGAATAATTTATTTGTCGCGAATTAGCCCCGCAGAATAAAATCGTTCCAAATTGAGTTTCGGCTAATTTCGTACGACTGAAATGTTTGCACTAGATCTTATGAATTTAGGGCCAGTCGGAACATTCAGGGCGTTGCTTTGATATACGAACAATTTCTTGTAAAATTTTTTACAATGTTTCTTTTGCACGCACTGTTAATGACAAAGCGACATTTTCCAGTATTTGCCATTTTGATCAAATTGGCCAAACTAATACTTCTTAAGTGCACACAAACCAGACTGCTCGTATCAGGGCGAATCCCTGAATGTTCCGACTGCCTGGAGCAGTATTAATATGAAAAAGTTAAAAAAAAAAACAATTTTTTTTTTTTCAGATTTTTTTTGTGAAAATCATACGACATATAAAGTACATAGGGATAAATTTCGCTCCTATTAACAAATTAATTATGGCAAATAAGCTTCCTTAGCTTCCTTGGAACAATTTTTGAGAGATTGAATTTCAGCTAACGCGTTAAAAGCGCGAAATATATCGCGCGTTAATTGTGCCAAATTGGCCAAAATGGCATTCTTTAAAACCCCATAACAAAAAATGGTCACAGGTGAAATATTTATTCAAATTTAAGCTGAAGACAACAATAGCTTTCGAATGATATAAGAATTCCGTCAAAAATTGCTAGTTAAAAGTCGTAATTTGTCTGACGAAAAAAATCCACCCGGAGCACTATTGTTCCGTTACTTTCGTAACAATAATAGCATCAAATTTTTCAATTTGAGATTGCGCTCGAGATATCAATATTTTTCAGTTGGTGTTTGCTCAACCTCGTGGATTAATCGTGCTACCAGCCACCATTCTATCGTGTCTGAAAAACTTTGATATGTCGAAAATTTCGAAATTGATAAAACAATTTATGTACAATTTTACAGAATAAGTCAATTTATAAAGAGCTTTTTTAAAGTTTTATTAAAGCGTTGATAACCTTTTATCAGAAGTGGCAGCCTTCTGCCTATTTTTCATCTTTTTTTGAAGCACTCAACTTAATTGTGTCAGGGTAGATTGCGCATCTGGCTTTTAATAAGACATTTTGGCATTTTACAAGAGGTATTGCCTGGAGACGTTTACGGTTGCAAAATATCTAATCAGTTAATGTATTTTGCTGGTGGTTTTTTATATTTTCACGGCAGGTGGGGGAGGGGGTTTTTGTAAGTTGGTGCTTTTTGACTTTTAATGAGCAATTAGAAAAATATTTGAAATAAGAGATGCACAATTTCAGTGTAAAGCTGGATGAAAACTTTTTTCCTTTTGAAACGCGAGATTTGTTGAAATTTTGCGCTAGAATTTTTCAAGTCAGAAAAACCCCACATTTTTGCAAAAATAAGAGACATTACCGTATATGGGTATGAAAGAAGCACTCATTCTATTTTTGTGTAGGTTGTGGATGTGACGATGTGGGTGGGGCTGCACTGGTTCAACGAGAAGGTATCCTGGGACCCGTCCAAATACGAAGGCAGGAAGAGGGTGGACTTCACCGAGAAGTCTGACATGTGGATGCCCGATGTGGGTAAGAAAGATACCGTTCAGAATATTATACTAATTGCTGAAATAAAAACGAGCCAAAACTACTGAGCAGTTACATAATAGTTTCGTCACAGTTGTTGGGGGTCTACGTGACAGCCGCCCTCCCTATTGCCACCCTTATAAATAAAAAGCAGTAAGTTAGCACTAGATCGTTGTATTTAACAATCGAGTTCTGCTGCAATCTGATTGGTCTAAAGTTCTACTAGACAATGCTCCCCCTTTCTTAAAGGGAGGGGGGGGGGGGCAATTGTTGAGTAGATCCCAGTTAAGTAGCATCGTACGTTCGATTCTTCGTAACTCAAAATTTGTGTTTTGAATCAGGGCCTCCATCAAATTTAGTTTTTTTTTTCCAATTATTTTTGTCGGCAAATGGATTTCGTACCTAAAAACAAAAGTTCAAAACAGCCTATATGCACCACTCATGATGGTTAAAAACATACAAATTACGGATCTCTTTCACTATATCACTCTCTTTTGCAAAAGAGGGGAAAGTCGTTGTATGGATAAAATTCTCATATGCTTAATTGTTGAGTTGTTTTTTTTTTAAATGGGAGATATTCGTTACAAGGTACCCGAGGGGGATATAATTAAAGCAATTTAAATCACGTTCTCTCAGGCTTGAAGTAAGTTGTATATTTTACAATAACTTTTTTTAAGTATAAGCTTGAAAACAATATCTTTAAAAACTTTTTGTTTTGGGACTAGTTCTAAGTTGCGCGACTATAGGCTCAAAATTTGAGATTTAGAAATTTCAAGAGGAATCTCAATGTGAACGAAAGTCATCCAAGCACACCTGCAGATACTTATACAACTGAAAACGAGCAAAAATGATTTTCAGAAATGCACAAAATAAATGCGCTGATTTAAGAGCAGTTTGTTTTCTGATAAATAGTTATTTGAGTATGCAAGATTGGGGGTATTATTATGACCGAAAGTTCATATAAGGAAAAACTTTTGACGTATTTTACAGATTACAACAAAAATTATTCTATGCTCACGGAGACGGAACAATAAGCAGAATGGTCCAAGCGCCGAATGGGTCCAAGAGCAGAAAAACAGAAAAATATTGACTTATATTAGTTTATACGGGCTAATTGATAAAACAATTATTAGAATCGTCAAAAAATACCAACAAAATTAACAATTTATACATGAATTGACCAATTTCATTAAGGTTTTTGATTAAATTCTTTCAAAAAATTCTTGATTAAGTTGTTCAAACTAGGCATAAAATGTTCGTTGCTTTGCTATTATAGACATTTCTGATAATCATTTTACCGATTAGCTTATAGAAGTTGACATTTTTCTATTTTTCTGCTCTTGGACCCATTCTGCTATTAGACCATTCTGCTTATTGACCATTCCGTATGCCACCGTATGCTGACTTTCTCTAGCTAACTAATTGATGATATTAGTCAGAAAAACTATTTTTGTCCAACATTTAAAGTTAGATGGCATAAAACAAGCCAAAAACAACATTTTTACTTTAAAAAATCAAACGCTTTATCAGTATACATCAGATTTATCAGATAAGAAATAAATTTTTAAATGGATTGGAACTTGATTTTATCGGTGTAAGTATATGACGCAAATGTTTATCAGATTAAATGGATGACACATAAAAGGACCAAATTTAGACAAAATCTCATCACAAGTTTCTGTAGTACATTAAAAGGGCTAACATTATATTGTACAACTTCAAAGTGTGTTTTATGACAAACCCTTTTCATGCTTGAAATTGCAAGTATTTTATTGAAACAGCAAAACACATGAATGTGATATATGAAGCAAACAAATCAAAGTGGAAGAGATACGAAAATTTTCAAAATCAAAAATTTCGCTTACCTTCTTTAAGCTAAATTTGAAATCCTACCCTTCTGGAGAACCAAACAAAAGAGGAGATAATGCCTTCACTCTTTCCTCTTTTGATTGGTCCTCCAGAACGGCAGGATTTCAAATTTAGATCAAAAAGGTGAGCTAAATTTTTGATTTTGAAAACATTCGTTTTTCTTCGACTTTGATTTGTTTGCATCATGTATCACATTCATATATTTTGCTGTTACAATGAAATAGCTGCAATGATGGCAACCAAAAAATCAAAGTCGAGAGCTATTTGATAAATTTATTTTACTTAGTAACACGCGATCCGGGGCTTGAAAATTAGGCAAACAACAAACTAGACGTGACCAAAAAATGAATTTTGACGTGGATGCAAAACTACAATAATGGGAAATTAGACGTAATTGTAATGTTATCGTTTGTGAATTTTGTTTGCTTACTGTAATTAACTTTTGATGACTGCAATCAACTTTCGTTCGTGCTTTCTTAATCAGTTTATTGCATGTCGCAAATGTATAATTTATGCAATTTTAAAATTGTTTTTATAAAACTTGGATTAACGTTTCGTCAATAATAAATACTTTAAAAAAAGGATTATAAATTATTCTTCTACTTGTGAAAGTTTTTTTTCAAGCTTTGTTAGCCCTTTGCTCTTTGTCCAAAATGCTATATTTGCAAATAGAAGACCAGTTTTGACAAAAAGTTTATAGAGAAATATATTGATGCCCTGAGCTCACAGTTGATAAAACATTTTAGCTATGATCAATTTTTTTTGAAAAAAGGGGCTTTAAAAATAGCTAAACAGGCAAACATGGGATATTTATTGGTCGATTTACTGCGTTCTTTAACGCAGTCTTCGATACTGTGATTCAATTTGGCTTCGGAAACATTACATTTTGAATTGTGTTACGCTAACTTACCAACATTTAATGTACTAAAATAAAGAAACTTTATCAATTGTTGTGGAGAAATTTTTCGATTAGCAGTATTTTTACATAACACCGTATCTTTAAGTTACTTCAAAAAACACTGGTGTTTGCCTTCTTGAACATATTTCTTAATGACTCTTCAGAATTATCAAACTACCAATTATCCTAAACTACCAATTATCCTATTATCGACTTCAGAGCTAGATTGACAGCAAACAGATGCTTTTTTTACAGTTATTGCTGACAGCCTTTTAAGATCTATAGAATAATACTAGCTTTAAGAATTGATGCAATGTTAAAAAATAAACAAAAATAAATAAATTTTTGTAAGATTTTTGTGAAAATCATCACCTCACTTGCTAAATGAAGTTCAAAGTGATAAATTTTGCGGATAGCAAGGTATGAAATAGATCAAACTTTGAAAATCATTACCTCACTAGCTATATTAAGTTCAAAGTAATAATTTTTGGGAATAGCAAAGTATTAAATATGTATCACATTCAAGCTGTTCGAAGTTGCTTCTTGATCTACATTTTTATTTGATGATACAGCAATTAAAAACGACCAATGTAGCTCTACTGTTGATTTTGCTCGCAGCAAATTAATTTTGCGGAGCTAATCTTTTCTTGTAAGAACAAATGCTCGGAAAGTCTTTAAACCAAAGCTATGTAACCACAAGCTATATAAAGTACTACAAAGTGATTTACATTGCAAAGTAATAAATAGACCAAATAGCTTGTCTTAATCCTATTAGGAACGATTTTTGAGACGGATTAGTTCTTCGCTTACGCGTTAAAATCACGAAATAATCGCGCGGTAATTGTCCCGAATTGCCCAAATTGGCAATTTATTCTTTATAGCTTTATGAAAAAAGTTCGCAGGTGAAACAACTCTTTAAATTTAAGTTTAGAACAACAAAACCTTTTGATTGATTTTTTAAAAATTTCTTCGAAAACGGCTTGTTAAAAAGTCGAAGTTTTTGAGGAAAAAAAAAACTACCGGAAAACTTTTTCACCTTCTCCGCAAGTCAGAACAAAAACTACATATTTTTCACTCGCTGTCGAAAAGCTTTTAATTAGTAACTATTATTTTTATTGAAAAATTTTTTAGGTTGATTTTTTTGGAATGAATAATGCATTCAAATTTTCAAAACTTTTTGAAGCGGCGAAACACTCCACCTAATAAGTTACTCAAACAGAATTGAGGCGAGCTTATTGAATCAAATATTAAATTAACAGGCGCAAATGAATCGTTTCATAATCGTAACATTGCGTGTGGCTGATTATCTTTTTGTTCCGACTTTTTTAATTGCCGCAGCTCTGAGTGGTTGCTATGCCTTTATCTAACGTATTTGAGTAGTCAAAAAGCTTTGGTATTCAAGAAACATCAAGAAAAAGATACGAAAAAAAATAAAAACAAATCATCGTTATACCCAGTAGACTTATACACTTCCCTTCAGTGAATCGACCCACTGACGACCCAAAAAGTCCCCTCTTTGATACCATACTGATACCAGACATTCTTTTTGGGCTCACCGACTCTTTTTTGGGCTGGCCGCCTATATATCCTAATTTTGAAGGGGCGAGTTTGGATTGAAGGGCGTTTTGATTTTTCGATCAAAACTTTTCAAAAAAGTTTTTTTCTTATGTTGCTTGCTGGTCCCGAATCTCTCCCCCCTCGCCCGAGAAAATCTTAGATCCATCCCTGGTTTTATTCAGTTATCCTTTCATTTTTTCAAGATTTTGGAGTCAAGATTTTGGAGTCAAGATTTTGGAGTCAAGATGAATATGTAATATACATACAATCATGATCACTAAAAGTCTCTATTATTGACTGTCTAATACAATTTTTCATGCCTGTTATTTGTTCAGTGTTCTACAACCAGATAGACGGAGCCCCCCTGACTAAAGAACTAATGGCCCCCTACAGACTGTACAACACAGGGGAGACATACTTCTCCCAGTCTATCAGGAGCAGCTTCCTCTGTCCCCTAGATGCCAGCTACTTCCCCTTTGATGAACACGTGTGCAGTCTCAAGTTTGGACCCTGGACTTACAATACCGAGGAGTGTGACGTCGAAGGTACTATTGCTCATTTTTTTGGATCCTGTTTAGTTGACTTTTTTGAGACTCGAAACACGATTGACGATTTTTCAAGGTGAAAAGTATAAGTCATGCTTTTTTTTCGAAACAATTTTGCTTTCAGCTTTTCGACAGAATTGAATTACTGACAACAATTAAATCAGTTGCTGATTTTGTAATAAAAATTATTTTTACGAAAATCTGATTTTTAAAACTCATTTTCCCGACCGGCTCTTTTATTAGTTCATAATAAGTGAACTTTGTGCTAGTAAACTTTATTTTTTTTTCATCATCAAGATAATTTCATAGATGAAAAACAGTAGCCCCCAATTCTCGGACAGCATTTGTTGTTCCGACCACGAAGTGAGAAGTAACAAAGGCTTCTGGTATTTTTCCTGGAAGTTTTTTCAGTCGGGGGCCGAATGATGCTTTAAAAAACGAAAAAAAGGAGTATGGACGATATATAAAAAAAATGGCAATTTCAAAACATCGACGATGAGATTAGATAATCTGTCTACCCAATTCTGTTTTAAAAAAAATTAGTTACAATTTGAATAAAAATAAAAAAAAAAGTAAAGAAAGACTACAAGGTGGACGCATCGTTCAAATTTGGTGCTCCTAAATTGAATTGGGCGCATATTTGAGTAATATGTACTTAGAAAGAAAACAAATATTTTTTTGAACAAAATGGAAGAAAAAAATTTGCTGGCGAACAAAAATAATCTGCTATCTTTTCTGTAATGATAATTCGTTTATTTAGTTTTCATTCTGCAGTCAAATATCGAGAACACATAAACGAATCAGAGGCCTAATATTGTATTCTTAACAGCAAATAATTTGATATTTGGTCAAAAAAGTTACTCTATTGGTGACAATTTTTTATTATGTGGCGGGGGGGATTTTCAAAAAAGATTTTGGGGGGATTTTCAAAAAAGTTCTAAATTTTGTCGAAATTTTTTAGGCCGACCGAATTGGTTTTCCGAGCTCTCCCAAAGCACTTAGTAGACCCTGTACTGGCCAATTTTTCTGCACTGCAGGCAGCACACTTCTGAAAAAAGAGACGAAAAAGGCGTTTTAAAGAACTTTTGGAAAATGTTTACCAAAAAATCGCGTTTTTTCAGCGCGCGCTCCCCCCTCAAAATTGGTAAATATTGGCACCGAAAGCGCCTTTAGAAAAAATTGAAGATCCGTCAGCCAAAAATGGATATCTCAAAATATTACAAACGGGGACCCTTTGGGTCGTCAGGGGCCGAATTCCTCCCTTAATCCGCTGGTGATTTGTATGTGAATTTTATGTGGATTTCTAAAAATCATGTCCAATAAGGTCATTTTTTGCTAAAATTGATAAAGTAATCCAGTTAAAGAATATGTTGGAAACAAATACCTGACCAAAATGGTTGTTTTGTCAGTCTGATGTTTTGGGCTTTTTCTTTTTCCAGTTTTTTAAAGTTTTTTTTTCGGTCGGAATGTTTTGTTTTGTTAATTTTTTGGCTTTTGGATTAACAACTTATCATTTGACATATTTAAAATTTAAACTTTGTTCTCTCTCAAGAAATTCATTTTGTGCTATCTATTTAAAACTGTTTTTTTGGCGTTAATCAATTCTGCTTTTGAGACAAGGGAATATGTCGGCTGTTGTCACGTTTTCTCAAAATTTACGGCTAAATGATTTCTTCATCAATCTTGAAATAACTAGACATAATTTTAACAATCCATCAATTATAAAAGCTCAGCTGATTAGCCAAACATTACAGTTTTTAGCGACGCTTCAGAGATGAAAACTTTTATTGATAGAAAGAATTTTTTGTCTGTATGCATTATCAATGTTCTAGGATAATAGTTGTAATAATAATCATAGTTATAATAATAGTTATAACAGTTATAATATCTGCTGAATTTTTGAGGTGTATGCCATGGGATATCTAGTTTCTGTCGGTTTTGTTTAACTTCTCTCAAAAAACTAAATTTGGAAAATAAAATCAATGACCTCTACATTTTCCTTCAATTCAATTCTGTTAAATGTTTAAGTTTAGGCACAAGTATCTTCTCGTTTCTTTTACTTTGCCGTCACCTTCACTAAGAATCCCTTCTCTATACAAAACAAAGACAAAAATTGTGTACCTTAGCAAAGTGCTCTTAGAATAAATTTAAAATTTACGTGTACGAGCATTTGACTATGAGAAGTGTAACATTGACTAATTGATAAAAAATTTGGTGTAACTATTGTTAATAGAAAGGGCCAACAAATGAAAAGGCGAAGGAGTTAACAAAAAAGGCTAAGTTTTTTTAAAATTCATTTCCATGAGATGATTAGATACAAACATATGCATCTTTAATGAGCAACTACTTTGTTTTGTTGATAAAAACCCTTCAAAACTCTAAACTTTTACGCTCTAAATAGATAAAAATTAGCTCTAATACATTACCAATTTTCTCCAAATTGTAATCCATTTATCTCTTTTTTATTTTTTGTTCCCACCATTGAAAATGGGGAGGAAATTTGTATTCGGGTGTGTTTTAGTTTTTTTACTTTTTGTTTTCCTCGTAAAATCAGCTATAACAAAAATCATTGGACCGGAATGATTGATAGATCAAATTGAAGCCCTTTTAGTTGTGATTCGAACGACTTTAAAATTTTTCAAAAAAGTTTACCAGTGTTGAAAAAAACTGGTTTGAAACTTTTGATTTTCGTCTTATTTCGAGCGAGTGGGTGAGCAGACTTACATTAGTTTATTTATGCTTAACTTTAGCTTCAAAAATTTAATTTTACGCAAATTAGGTTATTTTTTGGAGTTTTAAGCTTCATTTTGGAAATCAAAAAGTATTCAAAAATTTGGGAAAAAATTTGAAAAATTAAAAAAAAATTATAATTTTTTTTTGGTTTTTTGGTTACCAAAATTGTCTTCCATTTTGCATATTTTACAATGACTAACGAAAATACCTCAGCTATACTTTTTTGCTCAGATTCATTTATCACACTACGCCGAAAAAATAAAGACACTAGTTTGAAAAAATAATTTTATTGTAATTTTCTGAGACTAGTAGGAACATTCTGCGCTACTTGCTCAGTAACCGGCTATCCTTAAAAGAATATTGGATCTGCTGCACGTGAAATGGATGAGTGCTTTTGACAAGCATGCAAAATGACTAAGACGCAACATAAGTTAAAATAAAATGTTTTCTTAAGCACATGCGTATTTCTTAAGTTTTCATTCTCAAAATATACATATTTTAAAAAATATCACACAAAAGTATCACAAAAATATCACACGAAAAATTAATTTAGGAAATGAAGAGTTTTTGAACTGCTTATTCTAGATATTCATACCTTGAGTGTCTAGAAATGCATTTTTAAAGCTGTCAGATGAAAGAAATGAGTTTCTTATTTGGGTGAAAACATGATCGTTTTTTTGCACTTTTCATGTATGACAAACTGTCTATCAAACAATTTTCATACAGGTTTCAAAGATATTTCTCAATGTACTCATCGGAAACTTTTTGGTAGTTGTTGTTCCGACCATTGAAAATGGGGAGAAATTTGTATTCGGATGTGTTTGAAGTGATAGACCAAATTGAAGACCTTTTAGTCGTTATTTCAACAACATTGAAAAATGAAAATTGTCCCACTGCTGAGAAAACTGGTTTTAAAGATTTTTTATTGTTAGATCGCGTAACGACCGTTAAATCATTTTTCTTAAAAGATTTTCAGGCCTAGAAATTTTTTTTTCATAAAAAAATACCAATTGTGGATTTTTAATTTAGTGCTTCCTCGGCAATAAAGATTTACTAAAAGATATAAAAAAATTTAATGCAAAAAATGAAAAAAAAAAGATTTTTTTTTTCATTTTTGTTTGTCATTCTTTATTTGAAGACAAATAACGCGTTAGTATAATGAAACCGATCGAAGCCCCCCCTCATTTATGGTTGCAAATTTTTTCAAAGGGTCCCCCCCCCCTTGGTATAACTTTACGACAACCATTTTTGCCTAACCAAACTCAAAATTTTCTAAAGGCGCAAAAATATATAATTTTAAGGGGGGAGCGCGCGTCGAAAACACGCATTTGTTTAATCCGAATTTTTCAAAAGTACATTAAACGCTTTTTTGGCCTCTTTTACCAGCGGCGCAGAAAATTTCCCCTAGAAAAATTTATGCGCACGCCACTGCGGTAGTTTAAACAGTAAAACGAATGCCTTGACCTAACTTAGCTGAACCAGTGATCCATTGTTCTAGTTAACGAAGACATGCTATCAATCAAGTGTTTCCTATTATCAGATATCTCTTTTAAGTTGAATCATCATCAGGGTAGGTATAATTTATATCCGAAGGGGTAACTAAATTGTAATTAATAGCGTACGACAAAAAGTCAAAACCATCTGTTTCAATTAAAATTTTCAAATTGTACTTTCAGTGAGCAGAACACAGTCATTAAAATTGACAGACTGAAAGGCTTTTGTGAAGCGAGATCCTTGAAACAAACCCATTCATGAAGAAGATGTCAATTAATCTGATTTAGAGCTTTTCTCTGTGAAAGTTTAAAAAAATTAGGATTAAGAATTCCTGATGTAGCTTAGTCTCTGATCTGATGTGTTTATATTTAAGTGAGACTTTTTTTAATTGGCCGCGTTTTGGAATGATAGTCGTTTCATAGTTATTTTTGAACCTTTGCTCTGTCGATAATCAATTGAAAATTCAATTTAAATAAAAAGAAAACAGAATAATTGTTTTTGTACCGAAAATGAACTTTCATTTCAACCTCACCTAATTATTGGACTTCCTAATTTTATATGATATCTGTATGATGTTCGTTGTCTTAAAAAGGGCAAAAACCAAAAAAGAATTTTGCGTCTTGTACGTGTTGAAATTTAGAGGGGAAATAACAAGACTTCCCTTCAAGTGTAGAACCTGAGATACAAAAAATTCTCTTTTTTTTCATTTTCTTTTAGTTTTGTCTTCATTTGAGCTATCAAAATATATAGACTAGGTTGACCTCAATACCTCA